GTTTACTGGGGGAGAGGGTGGCAGAAAGTAGCCTAGATAAAATTCTCTGGATACCCTAGGCATTTTTTTTCCTACCCAGGGGTCAGATGGCACAATCTGGGAACTGAGGAGCTCACCCTGAGGGCCATAATGGCTCGCCCCGAGCCGAGGGCCGAAGACAGCCCGCCCCAGGCAGGGCAACACCCGCCATGGGCTGGCTGGTACACTCCCCTCTAATAGCCCCCACACTAATCTGGTCCCCTCACCTGACCAAGGAGTGTGTGGCCAGGGACAGCGTCTCCAATTCCAGCACCACCACTTTTACACCCTCCCCCCATAAGTGGTCATACTATAATTTGAAGTAGGTGTCACTTCCCTCCCCCTTTATAAATGGCAAAGGGAACCTGAAAATTGTGAACAGGCTCCCCCCAGGTCTAAACATCTTTTGGCAGAAGCATTCAACAGATCAAAAATATGTGGTGCATTAGGATGTTGGTCCTCTTGGACATGCTGCCACTGTTAAGTGTCATCAAGTAGATGACTCACAGTGACCTTCAACAATCCATTGTACAGGTGATCATCTTCTCTGGTTCTCCAAGGAAACCCAAACCTGCAGGTGGTGGGGCACACGTCCCCCCCACGGGAGGTGGGGCGCAGGTTGTCTCTTTTATGTGGGCGGCCGGCAGGCATACACCATCCCTCAGCACAGGTGACCTGCAGGCGCTCACCATCTCCCGTGTGTCATCTCCCACACGGGCAGCCAGCGGGCACGTATCAGTATCATCTCGTTAATGGGGCAGCCGGCAGGGCAAGCACCATCCCCCAGTGCAGCTGGTGGGAGCGCGTAACCAGCAAGCGTGCATTCTCTCGGTGGGTGCGCGTCATCTCATGCCCGGGCAGCCGGTGGGGGTGGGTGTGTGTCATCCCCCAGCGTGGGCAGACAGCGGGCGCATGTTATCTTGGCGTGTGGGGGACCGGAGGGCTCGCATCATCTCTCCGCTGATGGGCATCATCTCTTGGAGTGCTTGCATCATTTCGTGCGCAGACAGCCAGCGGATGTGTGCCATCCCCCAGTGTGGGGTGGCCAGCAGGCTCATGCCATCCTCCACACAGGTGACAGGCGGGCGGTGTCATCTCGTGCGCAGGTGACCGACGGGTGCGTGTCATCTCTCGGCGTGTGCATGCCATCTCGTGTGCAGGCAGCCAGCGGGTGCACACCATTTTCCATCGGGAGTTGGCCAGCAGGTGCGTGCCATCTCCCGAGTGTCATCTCCCACACTGGCGGCAGGCAGGAGCACGCCATCCTGTGTGCGGGAAGCTGGTGGGAGCGCACCATCCCCCCACACAGGCAGCTGCTAGGCGAGTACCATCTTCCATGCGGGTGGCTGGCAGGCGCAAGCCATCTCCTGCGGTTGCGCTTCATCTCGAGCGCGGGAGGCCAGTGGCCACCTACTTCCCCTGCCGCTGCCATCTTGGCTCCAAGAATTCTCCCCGGAACAAGTACACTTTGCTGTAGTGTGGCGGCTCCACAACACCAGTCCTGGGGAGGCCCGGTGCCCACCCTTCATCCTGGGTGAGGGATTCCATAGGTTCCAGCTGTGAGAGCTTCATGGAGCTGCGGCTGTGGTGAGGCGCAGTGTGGGCTCTGCAGGAGGGGGTTGGGAGCAGCGGCACTCACCCATTCTTCCTTGGGAATCCTTGAATTCCTGTTGTTGAGCCTCAATCCTCACTGAAGACCAGTCATCAACTGTTTAACTGTTCAATTATCAATAAACAGAAGCTGTAGAGGGTCATAATGGCCCTTTTCCAAGTGGTCCGCTGCTCCCGCAGCTCACCACGTTGTCTCTGCCTCCCCTGCCATCTTGGATCTCTCCCATGCCTTTTTTATGGTCAGTGTTTACACCCTCTCTTTGGAAGAGACCAATTGCCTCTTCGCTACTCTGTCCCCCACAGTTGAATTCCTGTCAGCATCCAGCTTCATGCCTACAAACAGTTTAGTCAGAAAAAGATGTTCAGGCAGC